CGTCCCAGGCCCAGGAAGGAGCGCTAAAATAGCTCTCCTTCCGCAAGACGCTGAAGGTGCACCGCAAAAGGCCTCCGGCGCACCTTCGGTGCCTCTTCCACTGCAGCATGTGCGGACACTGCAGCGGAAGTGCGTCGTCGGAACGCCGGCCATGCGGAGGGCCAGCTGCTCCGATGACGTTTTCGGGAAGGGGTTGGGGCGCCCAGAGTGAAGCTGCCCCTCCCCTTCCGGCCTCGAAAACGGCGCTTTGCACCGTCTGCTTAGGCCCATTACCTATTCCAAGGCAAAGATAATTGAGACTTTTCCTTAGATGTCTACTATGGTTTGCTTAGATGTCTACTATGAGTTTGCTTTGCAGTTCTAAACTCCAGTGTTATGAGAATAGTTCACTAAATATCACTAAGTATCTTGGGCTTAAAAGTATGCACTTGAGGGCACAGAAAGGTGACTCCAAATCTAGCAGTGCCCTTGCTAAGTCACCTTAAGCCTACTTTTCTGAGTACAAAATAATAAAGTCTGGGCTGTAGGGAAATGAGAAGGAAGACAATCAGTTCATCTGCACTGAATAGTTATAGCAGTTTCATACTATTTTAACTTTCTACAAAATCCTGGAATTTTAAGTTCAGTGAGATGAATGGAATCCTCTGCTATAGAGCTCTAGTACTCTCCTCAACAATAGAACTAGGGTTTTCTAGCACCTAAGTAACTCAACAGACTACAAATTTCTAGGATTCTATAGGATGGAGCCAGATCATGTGCATTTGTGTCATGGCCCAGTATGTCCAAGTTTTTACTCAAAAGACCTTGTCCAGCCAACACAGAGGTTTGTTGCATGAAGCTGTTATGGACATTTAAAATGGCAACAAAGCTGGCTTTCCTTGACAACATGCTTCTACAATTCTCCCTTTTCCATTTCACTTGAAGAGAAAACTTGTACATATCCACAGATCTACATCAACTATCAAATCCAAAAACAAAATATGCCTGTTTCCAAACACAGTGTGTATGTTTATGTGTGTGTAGTCCAAAGATCTCTCTACTGCAGGAGACAATGGCAACATAGCATTTACAAGCAGCAGAAGCACTCATACATCTGTTTTTCTGGTGCACAATGTATTTTCCAGATCTCAACAAACTGCAAGTACTAAACACATGTTAGAACATACTGGGTACATTAACTTAAAAGTGTTTTGGATATGTTGCTGTTAATTGTCATCAAGCTGATGATTCAATGAATGAGAGACCTTCCAAGTCACCCCATTATCAACAGCCCTTCTCAAGTCCTGTAAGCTCAGGCTATGGCTTCCTTCATTAAGCCTATCCACTATAATGTGATTTTCTTCTGCCTTATCAAGTAGTCTTTTCTAATGACTCCTACCTTATCATGATGTGTCCAAAGTACAACAATCAATTTAGTCATTTTGGCTTCTATAAAAGTTAAGGTTTAACTTGCTCTAAGGCCCATCCATTTGGGTTTTATTAGCACTTTACTTTATGGTATCTGAAGAACTCTCCTCCATCATTACATTTCAAATGAGTTCATTCTCTTAATATTAATTTTCTTCACTGTCCAACTTTCACAATCTTACATAGAAATCAAAAATATTGTGTATAGACAATCCTGATCTGGGTATCCAATGATATATCTTTATACTTGAGAATCCTTTCAAGTTCATGCATAGCTCCCCTTCCAAATCCTAGTATTATTTTGATTTCTTGTTAAAGATTCCATTTTGATTTATGAATGAGCCACGGTACAGAAAATTTTATGCCATTTTAATGTCTTATTGTCTACTTTAAAATTATGTAAATAATCTGTGGTCATTACTTTTGTTTTCATGATGTTCAACTGTATCCCTCCTTTTCCACTTTGTTTCCTTGATTTTCCTTAATAGCTGTTCTAAGTCTTTGCTATTTTCTGCAAGTAGTATAATCTCAAGTAGTATGAAGCAGATTAATTTATGAAACAGTAGTATGAAAGAGAAAAAAACATGGATGACAGAAAAAACACTACAAGCAATA